ACACCACTGTCTATTTACCAAAATGCATGAATATAAAGATGATAAATCATATTGTAATTCATTAATAATAATTTTAAGACAATCTTCAGTAATATGTGTCATTATTTTTGAGTAAAAAAACAAAATTAATAAAAGTTCAAAGATAAAAAAGGTCAAAGATAAAAAATTTAGGATAAAAAATTTAGGAGAATATATACTGTATGAACTTGTATAAAATGATAGTATAAATAATTGTAATTATAAGCCAGTTGGTTCAAATTTGACCACAGTAATTCTCTCATGAAATGATGTAATTCCTTCTTATGTTTCAATTATACAAGTTTTATAACAAACTAAGTTTTATTGATTAAATAATCTCATACAAATATTATTCATAATATAATTTAGTGTATCATATTGTTATTCAATATATCATAATTATGAAAATGATTTCATTAATAGTCATTGTAGAATCATGATTAGCAAGCCTAATTAGTCATGAGAAGACACACTAACCTGTTTTTTTTTTTCATGTATAACAAAAAACATTCATTTTCCCTGGAAAGAAACTAAAAATTTACCATTCTATCAAAATAAAATAAAAAAGTTTAATCACATTTTTCACTTTTTTTATTGTTTGATCAATTATAAATCTTATAAAAAAAATCTTTTATAAAAATTATAAAAGAATACTTCGCTTCTTGTACTGTATGGTTTAATTATTATTCATTTCAAATTCGATATTTTTTTTTTATTTGATCAATTTGATTATTGAAATATTTATAAGTAATCAAATAACTTTTAAAATAAATTTGAAAGTTAAATTTTAACCAAATACAGTTAGAGGGAATTTATAACGAAATTAAAAAAAAAGTTAATTTTTTAATAAGTATTATGTTCGTGAATTGTGTTCTATTGTAATCAACCAAAAACTTCATTTTTAAACAGTTTCAACAAGATTTTAATGAGATTATAGATAAAATTTACAAGATGCTTAATTAAAAGCAAGAGATTACAGAAAAGTTATAGAATGGATTCCTTATAATAATTTAAGAGATATAGTTCAATATCAGGCGAATTCAGCGTTGTTTATCAGGCTAATTTGTTAGGTGGGTATCTAAATGAGTGGAATAATACACAAAAATGGAAGATGAACTTGAGGATGAAATACAAAACATGAAAATATTATATCGCAGGTAATCGCAACTCATTGATTATTTTGAATTCTGTAATGTCTTGTCTGTCCTGAAAACAAAATTCAACAATGGAAAATTTTTATATTAAATAGTCTTACAACGGTTACCATCAAGTGATCATCTGGAAAGGCTGACGGATACACTACAAAGAAAGAAATCAAAGAAATCGAAGAAATCTGACAAAGGAAATCTAAAAAATTCAATCTCGATCTTTTATTAATAAGGTTAATCTGTCAGCAGAACATTTTGTCAAAAAATGAGTCTAGTAATAAAAGGTTTAGCATAGTACCAATAGGTACTCCCTTTCATATGCAAAGAAATTTAGAATTCACTAAATTAAAAACTGTTCCTTTTTTAATATTATAATAAATCTTACAAACCGGCATTAAATTGTGTATGGAAAGATTTAGACGTGATTTTGTTCACATAACTTTGGAGATTTTGAAGTTCCTGAATACATGTATAACGTAGATTTTAACAAAATCAATGCAGTAATTCGTTTTTCCTTCTTAGGCTTCTAACGCCTATTTTATCTATTTTATGCAATATTAATAACTTAAAAACTGAGTAACAAATCCGTTCAAACCACCTGAATTATGAATAGAATCAACTGGTTTTGAATATCAATCATTATTATCATAACTGACAATACGTTATATGGTAACTTTTTTTTTCGGTAATTACTATTTAAGAATTGTGTGAAGTAAGATATGTTTAATTTATAAAAAATCCTGAGAACTATTTAAACTTTTGGTATTTACGTATTAATATCGCTTGTCAATAGTTTTTAGAATTTTTTTTAAAAAGAATGTTGTACAGAAAATCTTATCTAAATTGAGTTTGTGCAATCGAATATTCGAAATTGCATGAAAGACGAATATAACTAAATGTAGTCTAGCAAATTTTATCAAATGATGTAATAAAAGAATATTTTAGAAATTATATTTATATACCTTACAATTCAAATATAACGAAGTTTTTTTTTTTTAAAAAAAAAATGTCCAAAACTATTGAAAATAATTTAAGTATATATGAAAAAACTATAGTTAATCAGGATTTTGGATTATGTTTAGATTGTAATCAACCAAAAACTTCATTTTATTGGTGTCAAAACTGTGATACTAAACGGTTACAACAAGATTTCAATAAATGGACTAGTGGAAATGATTTTATTGATAAATTGATACAAGAATCTCAATTAAAAGCAAGAAATTACAAGGATGTTATAGAATGGATTCCTTATAATAATTTAAGAAATATGAAATATCTTGCTCAAGGCGGATTCAGTGTTGTTTATAAAGCTATTTTGTTAGGCGGATATCTAAGTGGATGGGATGAAGAAAAACAACAATGGATGAGAGTGAATTCTGAACTTAAGGATGAAGACTATGAAAATGCGAAACAAGAAAATATTAAGTCACCTCTTAACGAAAATGAAAAATATGGAACGCATGTTGCGTTAAAATGTTTAAACAATTCTTCAAGAATCAATGAAGATTTTTTATACGAGGTAAATATATAGACTACTGTAATTGACTAATATATTATAAATACAAATTAATATATTTATCTTTCGTTGGTTTAGTGGAAAAATTATTTGGATTTTGTATATTCATCTCGAAATAGAAATACTATTTTAATTAAATTATATGGAATTACTCAAGATCCAGAAACGTTAAATTTTATGATTGCAATGGAATATATGACTATTGGTTGTTTAAGATCTAATTTAATGATAAAAAAATATAATCCATCCAATAAATATATTAATCTATGTAATGTAATTCAATCACTTTCTGTATTACATAAATGTAATTTAGTTCATGGTGATTTCCATAGTGGCAATTTACTTTTAGATTCTCCTGAATTGCTTCTTATAAGTGATTTAGGATTAAGCAAACCGGCGGATAAACCTCTTAAATCAGATGATATTTATGGAGTACTTCCTTATATTGCTCCAGAAGTATTGCGTGGCGAACCATATACCAAAGCTGCTGATATATATTCTTTTGGTATTATAATGTGGGAAATGTCATCCGGAATTCCTGCTTTTAATAATATATCTCAAGATTTTGGTCTTTCCCTAGATATTTGTCAAGGACTAAGACCAGAAATTGATGAAGTACCAAATATTTTTGATGATACAGAAAAACAAAAGATTTTTGAAAAAATAGAAGTTGAATATACGGAATTAATGAAAAGATGTTGGGATTTTAATCCCAATAAAAGACCAACAGCTGAAGAATTATATATAAATTTTAATGAATGGTATAGGGAAGTTCCTAAAGGAATGCGTATACCAGGTAAAAAATAAATTTAGTTGAGAAAAAGATAATTTAATTGAAATTAAATCATTTTTATTTTTTAGAAACTGAACCTCTCATACAGAATTATCCATCAACTTGTTATACAAGTAGAAAAATCGATTATTCTGCAAAATTAAATGAAATTTTAAATCAAGAAGAATTAAGTTCAAAAATTATGATTAATGATAGTGAATCGATATCTAGTGAAAATTTTGGTAACCATTTTTTTTTTATATATACATTATTTATTTCTCCTCATTTTTTCTTAAAAACAAATTAATTTGTTTATTTTAAACATTTTAGAAAATTGTAGGATTTCTAGTTCAAAAATAGGAAAGTATTTTAAATTCTCTGAATAAGAAATATTTAAGTATGATGTCATTATTGTAATAACTAATATATTAATCTTTAATTTTAATTATTGTAGAATCTGTTCAAGTATTTAATGATAAAGAGGAGGGATTTGATAAATAAGAAATTAGATAGAAACTCTAAATGGGGTCGTGTTAATTATTTATAATATCATTTTATTTGATTTTTTGTGATTTATCATATACTTTAGAAGGTATTTTAAAATATCATTTTTTTTAAGATTTATTATGGTGTACTATCAGAATATTGCCGGTAAAATTCTCAGATCTGCAGCGTTGTTGATATTAAGTTCAAAGATTCGGAATTTCATTGTGTATATTTGTAAATAGATACATTTTATGATAGGTTCTTCTAAAGTAATGTATTTATACGATATAATAACTTTTTTGATGATGAATCTAAAAAAATTCTTCATTATGATTATTCTTTTAAAGATCTTTTCATGAAATGATTCGTCTTTAAATTTGATTAAACTTTATAAATTTATTGATATGTGTAACAAATTTATCATCGTTAAAGTACCAAATGATTTAATTCATCAAATTTTGTCGCCTAATTATTAATTAGTAACTTCAAAGCTTAAATGTTTTCTATGCATCACTTTAATTACGCATCAACAGATGTCATACATTATTATAATCATGGAAAGAATAGCTAACTTAAGATTTGTTGATTATTAATGAGCTTTATTATTTAATCAACGTTTTAATTTTAAAAGAATTTGATATTGATTTGATAAACTCTGGCTAGTTATTTACGATGGTTTGTCCTATAGTTTAGATAATATTGAAACAATAATGGAGAAAAAATTAATAATAATTTATTAAAAATTGTTTAATATTAGGTTGGTAAAATAATCCAAATATTATAGATGTTTATTTATTTTCATTTTTCCGATTGGCATAAAAAAAGTCGAAAGAAACATATAGTACTTAACAGTTAAACAGTCATATTAACTATGAAAATTTACAAAATAATATAATAATACATCGTTAAAAAAAAAAATGAAAAAGTGATAATAATATTTTATTTTGCAAATTATAATAATATTATTTCATTATTTCTGTAAAACGAATAATATTTCTGTAAAACGAATAATAAGATAAGTTCCAACCTCCTACTAATATACTATATTCATATTATAGATTTATTTTACATGCATTTTTTTAATATGCTTCGCCATTTTGGAGGCTGTATTTATTTCTAAGTCACAATAAGGACATTCTGCTTCATTTTTCTTAACTTTTTTCCTTCTTTTTTTACCTTCATCATCATCATCATCAATTCTTTTTCTTCTTTTTTTACCTTCATCATCATCATCATCTTCTTCTTCTTCTTCTTTATCATCATCACTTGCTGAATCCTATAAAAAAAAACAATAAAAAAAAATAAAAATATATTAAAAATTTCAAAAGATGTGTAATTGATATATAATATTATGAAAAATATACCTTGTCAATAATATCATTAATCATCTCTAATTCTAAAGTAAAGTCGGGTAAAATATCACCAGCATCTAAATCTTCCCAAGGTTGACGACGACGATAGGGTGAACCATTTTTATCCCTTTTATAAACCCAAATATTACGGTCAATAGGGTCAATCAACCATCCTAATTTAACAGATGTACCATGTGCAAAATAATCCTTTTTGATTTTATTATTAACTTCTTTTTCTACTTCACTATTTTTAATATTAGCAACTTTAACAATAAATATGGGAGTGAAGGGTTGACCTTCAAAGGACCAAAGTTGTTTTTCATCAAGTGAAAGGTAAGTATCTTCAGGTGTAAAAGCAACATCTGGTGCTTGAATCTTCTGTAAATTAGTGTCTCTAAAATCATAACCACCATTAGAAGTGGTCACAATTCCAAGTCCATCCTTATTAGTTTCAACATTCCAATTACCAAGCTGTCTAGCAATCTCATGTACAACAGCTTCAATGGCAATTGGAGTATATGAAATAGAAATTAGTTTTCTGTTTATAATCTCAAAATTGGGATTTACTCTAAGATAATTATTAATAAGTTCAAGTTCTTTAACACTATAGCAATATTGGAAGTCCAAATCTTCAAAATCCAAATCACCAACTAGTATGAAAGAAAGGTTAATGAAAGAAAGGGTTAATGGGAATAAAGAATTCTTTCAAAAACAACTATTTATCTTTTTCAAAAAAAGTATTACCAATACTATCTTTTTTTGTTCTTGATACAGTACGGGATGATTTTTTTGTTGTTACAGTACTGGATGACTTTCTCTTTTGCGACATGATTAAGTGATATTATTAAAGTTGTGCTATTATTATTTTGTGCTTAAAATTGTGCTCTAATTGTGCTCTTTAAAATTTTTTTGGCATGCATTTATATATTATTGTTGTTGTCATATATGCTCATTATTTGTAATGATGATACATATCGGAACATCAAACTTATTTCGGTAAAATTTATTGGTTTGAATCAATATACTATTGTGTTGTTTTTATTAATAATTGTTTTAAGACAATATAACTGATTAAGTAACACTTTTTGTGTTCAATTTTACTTTAATAATAATTGAAGTTACATATTGTTATCTCTCGTAATAATTTACTCATAGAAAAATGATAAACTTCTTAAATCAATCTAAAACAAAATCTGAAAATAAATAGCAATCAATATTACTATTTATTTATTAGTAGAAATTAAATGTTTCAGTATCATTTTTTGATTAAAATTTCACTTATAAAATTCTTGTAATTTATATTCATGATTTAACTGTATAGCATACTTTTTTTTTTCAAACAACGTGTTAAATCTTTGGACAAACTTTTTTTTTCATATTTCCATCTAACCCTATAAAGAATTTTAGCCGTTATTTCTGTAAAAACTTCGTAAAAATGAGCCTATTCACGGAAAATGTAAATAATTCGGTAAATTCCGTGATATAAGGTTATTAATTCCGGAAATATTAGCCTTTTATGGAAAAAAGAATCGACTTTTTTTACAGGGTATACATTTCATCATTTTTTTTTTTACAATAAAACACATTTAAAAAACTTTATTATACTCAATTTTTTTTTAGTATAAACTTACAAATAACCTTTAATTATAAATAATATTTTAAATTACCAATTACACATGATGACATGATTTTTTACATGTACTCAGCTCTAAAAGCGATTATATTAATAATTTTTGTGATAATTAAGAAACTGATTTCCATTTTATTAAATATGATTATTGTAAAATTTAGAGAATGGATTGAATATGATACATTTGAAAAAATTACCAGTTAAAAAAGTTTCATATTAATGATCGTCAACAACCATACATACACTTCAGTTAAATCATATTATTTATAACGATATTTCAGTTAATTCCTTCATTTATTATAAACAATTTTTGCTTTTCTTTTTGAGTTAAATTTTGATAGTTTAAATCATAAAATTTAGCAAATGTATTAAATGTATTGTATAATTAAAAAATTTAACAAATATATTGTAAAGTTTTTTACTTCGGGGTGATCATTACCGTTGGCCAGAATTGTAAATTTTTACCGGCACTATATTTTTTAATGCTGGTCGATCGTCATAATTTCAGTAACCGGTGATCTCTCGTAAATATATTATTAAAACTACATTGTGTTAAATTTTAATAAATATATAATTATATTTACTATATAACAAAAAAATACTTGTTCCTCATATACTATAAATAAATTCCAAATTCGGGACTATCACTGATGTACCATTCATATCAACTTAACTTTATAGGATAGACCATTTATGTATCACAAAGCTTTAATTCAGCATCCTCGTCCATTCAAATAAAATCTGAAGTTAAAATACAAACAAAAAAAATAAGAAATGGTTAATAATCTGTTTCTTTAATTAAGAAATCAAAGTTTCAAAGTTCAAATAACATCGAAAATCGAAGCTAACCCAGCTTATATATCATAGAATGAAGCTAAGCCTTAAAAAAAAAAATGGTTGGAACAGTAAGTAAACCTATTTTCAAACTGATAAAGATAAAAAATCAAGATTTCAAAATAATTCTGAACTCACCATATGTCTTAAAAATTTTAAAGTTCAATCTATAAAAGGAAAAAAAATCATTAGCCAATGTTCTAAATAGAAGAAAAATTGAAGTTTCAGAACAGGACCCCGAGTTATATATTATATAGGGGAGATCGGCACACATTTACTATTAGCTCTCGCATTTCGCACTATGCAATGCTGATCGCAAATGGAATCGACCTACATGATTTTAGCTCATTCTACCAGGACTTGACCTTTCTATGTATAGCTCGAGATCCTGTAAAACTTACCAAGTCCAAACCCTATAAAAAGAGAAAATAAAGAAATGAAATATTTTTTTGAAAAGTAAAGTTTTGAGGTCCTACTTCAAACTTAACTAATGATCCATTCGTACTTTTTTTTTCAACAGCATCCAGAGACCAAAAGAACCAGCCACAAAACTATTATAAATAAAAGAACGAAATATAAGTAAACTGTAAAAGATGTTTCATTTTTTTTAACTAATTACCACAATCCTGTATCCAAAGAGACTGGAGTGCCATAATAAGAGCTGCAAGAGAAAAATATCTAACATTAAATAAAAAAATCATTTTCTTTTTTCTATAAACAAAAAAAAATAAGAAATTATTTAAAGAAATTTTGTGAAAACTAAAAGTGTAGATATGGAAATAATAAAAACTTTCCTGAATTTAGAAGTAAAACCTGAAACGTTGCTAAACGTTTTGTTAAGGAAATCGAAATCGTAGAGGGAGGAAGGAAGAAGGGAAATGAAGGAAGAAGAAAAGGGAGGGGAAAGGAACGAAGGAAAGGGATGACTATATTTGCTATTTTTAAATATTATATTTTTAAATATTATAATTTGATTTAATAGCGATATTTTTACAATTTGTTACTATTTCGCTAATATAATATTATGTGATCAATGTAATTGCCGATCAGGGTGATTATTTTTCCTTAACTAGTCTTTTTTGATAATTTTGTGCCGATCTTGACATCATTCAACATAAATAACGTTTCACAGCTATTTTATTATTATATTTTCTTTTTCTTTATTTAATATTTTTGCATAATATATTTTAATTATTTATTAAAATGGTTGAAATTAAATTAAGTGACAATGTATTTGAACAAATAAAAGACTTCAAACATTGGAAATTGTCTGAAGAACAAGAATCGTTAATTGTTAAACTAATAACAGACAAAGAATTAAAAGAACGTTATAAAAAATATGATTTATGTGAAGGATGTAAGCAACCTAATACTAGCTATGAATGGTGCCAGCCATGTATTTCTAATCATTTTCAACAAAATTTCAAAAATTGGACAAGTGGAAATCATGACGTTGATGAATTTATTCAAAAAGCACAATTAAAAGCTAAAGATGAGGACCATATCATAGAGTGGATTGAATATGATAAATTTGAAGATGTTGAATATTTAGCAAAAGGGGGATTTGGAACTACTTTTAAAGCAGTTTGGAAAGATGGTCCTTGGAAAACGTATGATATAAGTACTAAACAATTGGAAAGAGAAAGTTATACAAAAGTCGCTTTAAAGTGCTTACATAATTCACAAGATATTTCAGCAGATTTTTTAAAAGAAGTAAGTTATTTTTTTATAAATCTTCATTAGCCTTCATAAATGAAACTAACCATAATTTTCTTTAAAGGTTGAATCAAATATTTTAGCATATAATACTGCCCTCATAGTTCGTTGTTTTGGTATTACCAAAGATCCAAAAACAAATAATTTTATGATGGTAATGGATTTAAAAAAGGGCAGTTTAAGACAACATTTAAATAACAATTTCATTTCACTGAATTGGAAGAAAAAGTTGTATAGTTTAACTGCTATTATACTTGGTCTTAAAGATATTCATGATAAAGGATTAATTCATAATGATTTTCATTGTGGGAATATATTAAGCAATTTTAGTAGAAATGCTTTTATTACTGATTTGGGATTATGTCAGCCAGCAAATGTCAAATCCCCTCAAAATAGTAATAAAAAAATATATGGAGTATTACCTTATGTAGCTCCTGAAGTTTTAAGAGGAAAAGAATATACTCAAGCAAGTGATATTTATGGATATGGAATCATTGCATATGAAATATGTACAGGTTTCCCTCCTTATTATGATGTAGCTCATGATGAATTCTTAGCAATGAAAATTTGTAATGGGTTGAGACCAAAATCTAATTATAAAATTCCTCAATTAGTTCTTGACATTATTAATCAATGTTGGGATGCTGACCCTTTAAAACGACCTAATGCAGATGAATTATATGAATTAATTGGAGGTTTATTGAGTGATATTCGTCACAATAGAGTGGATTCTGTGATTTATAAGCAAGTTAAAGAAACAGATGATATTAATAAAAAGTTATCTTTTTCATCACCTTTATTAAAATCTACTGGTACTATATCATATATGACACATCCTCAAGCAGTTTACACAAGTAGGCTTTTAAATTTTAAAGATCTCCCAGAACCAACAAATGCTGATAATAATGACGATTTACTTGGAATGGAGTATTCAGGTAAACATATATAACATGCTATAATATTTTAATTTTATTTACAATGCTGACAATTAATATTTATAGATTCTTTAAAAATGGATTTTACTAAACTTGATATTAATTCTAAAGGTAATTAATTTTGCATATGATTTTTTTGATCCATTAAATTGTAATTAACTATTTTTTATTATAGATGAAAATAATTAAGTTCAGTTTACTTAAAGTATAAAATTTTATCATATTTATGCTTATTATGTAATTATTTATTTTATTTGTATTTGTATTTTGTAATTGGAGATTGAAGGAGTTATTTATGATTTAAATTTAACGAATCTATATATGTAAATTTTCTAATTTAACGGTCTTCTAGATTGGAATCCTGCGCAAAAGTCCATAATTTGAAATTTAGCCCAACCCGATCAAGATCCCAACCAGGATTTCTTATTACTGCTATGATATAATTATGGTAACCTTTAAGAAAAAAATCATTTGTTAAAAAAAGATTTTCACATTTATTTAGTATCCTTGTTAAGAAACCTTCATATTTAAAAAATATCTTTATATCTATTTATTAAAAAATTTCGTATTTACTTATTAAAAATGAATTTTTGTACTGTATTTATTTGTTAAAAAAATCAATCAGTTTGTTACTATTTGTTATAAATGAAAAATAATCAATGAATTTATTGAGATTTTCACTCGCACGAATATTTTTTAATTTTTCTCCACAAGCCGACTTCTAACGAGCTAAAATTTTCAAAAGTTTAAAAAGTAATCATAATCTCGGTTTATTATTAAAAGTTCAAAGCGAAAATTTTATTAATTTCAGTTCATAATACCGTACGTAATTGTAGTTAGTGAAAGAAAAAATAACAAAGTTATTTTTTGAAGATTCAATTTCACGGTACAAAGATAAGAATTTAATAATTTAAAATTTCTATCCAATTTATTTATAAAAAAGAAAAAAAAATTTAAATGAGACATTATTAAAAATTGACATAAAAATCTAAAAATTCTAAGTGATGTAACTGATAAAAGCTATAAAATACTTTAAAAAAAAAATCAAACTATTAGATAAACGTTGTAAAACTTAAACTAAAAAAAAAAAAAAGAAAAAAATCCTAGTATTTAGCTTTAGGATATTTTGGTTTGTCTTTATAATCTTTGAAATGCATTTTTCCTTTTCCAAATTTACCGAATTTACCGAATTTACCGAATTTGCCAAATTTGCCAAATTTTCCGAATTTTCCAAGTTTTCCGTGTTCATATTTTAAACATTTTCCAAGGTCATATGCTATACATTTTCCAATTTCAAATTTTATACATTTTCCAAGTTTTCCGAGTTTTCCATTTTTTCCATGTTTCCCATATTTACCGTGTTTTCCGTGTTTCCCGTGTTTACCATGCTTTCCATGCTTTCCATGTTTTTCGTGTTTTCCATGTTTTCCCATCATTCCATGTTCATGTTCTTTATGTTCGTATTTTAAACATTTTCCAATTTCATGTTTAATACATTTTCCAAGTTTTCCAAATTCATATTTTAGACATTTTCCGAGTTTTCCATGGTTGTGTTTTCCAAGTTTACCATGGCCAGCTTTTCCATATTTTTTTGGTTTATCCTTATGTTCACTCCTTTCATAGACAACACCATTTTCAAATTCTTCGATTGGTGTAGCGACGTAATTAGTGGCAAGAAAGGCTAAAATTATAGCCAAAATAAAAGTGAAAGAGACTTTCATTTTTTATGAAATAAAAAAGAGTATATATGAGAAGATAAGGTATTCTTAAAAAGCAACTATATTAAAAATATATCCTGTATGAATTAACGTTTTTCTTTTTTCCTGACAAGATAACAAGAAATTGACGAGCCATATTTATATAAAAAAATTTCGGTAACGTAAATAACGAAATAAACTTTATTTCAATTTAATATAAATAAATTACGTCTAATAAATTACTCATACCCAATCTAAAGTTTATAATTCATGAGTTATCAAATAATTTGTATATCTTTTGCATAATTGAATATAAATAAAATAAATAAACAACGTACTACTAAATTAAACGTTAATTCAAATTCAAAAAAAAAAAAAAATATTATGAACGTAAATGAAATAATTAAATGTAGATTATACATAAAGTTTTCCTTGTCAATTAATATTTCGAAACATAATAAAGATGCATTTAATTATTTTTTTTAAAAAAAATAATCTTTACTTTAAAAGATCAAAATATGAATTCTTTTTTTCCTTTTTTTAAAATTAATATTCCTTATACAAATGCGAATTTTTTTTATTAAAGATAGATTGGTTATTTTGTATTGTACAAACGTACACAATATAAATTGTTTTCACATTATAAAAAAAATACGAAACGCGATATATAACGTGAAAAAAATTTTAATTTTCTTGGCGCGCGTTTAGATAATTTTATGATTATTTTTATACGATACATATGATTGGTTAAGCGTACCCTTATATGGTTTAATGACTTTAATGTACATCAAAAAAAAATTAAAAAAATTGTTGTACCGAAGAGTCAGCATGCAGAAATAAAAATGTATCACAACATCATGTTTGAAATATTATGTAGATCTTTACAAAAGGTTAAAATATCTGATATGTAATATTATAAATCTTTTACCCCTTTAAACTTTATTGTTTGCCAAGAATCAAAAAAAAAATAAAAATAAAAATAAAAATTAAAAAATAAAATAAAAAAATTATAACATTATGAATGAAGTTAGAAACATTTGGATCATGAGAATTTTTTCATGGACTAAAAATCGAAGGTATTTGTCTAAAAGAGGATTAAAAATCAAGTAGCTTTTTTTAATAAGTCACTTGCGATATTTGTTAAAGAAGTTACGTTTTAAGAAATTATAAATATCTGTATATTAAATTAACAAAAAATATTTATAAAATTTTAAACAAACAAATATAAATTTTATTTTTTACATTCCGTAACACAAAAAACAGTTGACGACGCACAAATTTTAACGATCAGTTATCAATTTTGAAATTTTACAAAATTTTACGAGAAAAAAAAAATTCATTTAATCAATTTTTTTAAAAAATATTCGTTAACTTTTTATTTTCGTTTCAATATTTAAAAAAATTTTTTTATTAATTATAAAAAGTCAACAATAATGAATTTTCTTATTCTTTCATCATAAATTTTGTAATGCGCGAAGTAGATTTTTTTGACAATTTTATTATATGTAAGGGAGGAAAGCTTATCATGTAAAATATTATTCCGGGAAATTTATGAAAAATGTATAATGTAATGAATATTATTGGACGATTTTTTTAAATTTTTATTTTAAATGAAACGAAATTGAAATACCTGCAGAATAATTGCTATAAATAGGTTTTATTAATTATTACATCATTATAAAAATTTTAATATAACAATTTTAACTACTTGTTTAAAATTATCGGAAACACAATAATCGTTAATCCGTTTTAAATAAATATAGGAAATATTTATAAGTTTATCAATTGTTTTTTTATTATTTCATTTCTTGGCTCTTGGCGTGATGAAAAAAATGCAAAATTTCAAAAGTTAATTAAACTTGTATAAAATAAGTTTAGATTTACAATAATTTTTTTCTTGGCTCTTTTACCTGGTACGGCGGTAGTTGTACAATGTTTCATAACTCACTAGAAGATCAATGGGAGTCCAATTTTCGAAACAATGAAAAATGGATTATGTAATCAGTAAATCATTAACCACTAACCGTTATTAATTCCGAAGTATCATTATTGCAGGACGGTAAAGTAGTATCACGTGACCATACGACCCTATCCTTGCCGCACAAATGGGATGGGAACTTTTTGAACGTCGATGACTCGATGTTAATATATATATATTAATTCAAAGAAATAAAAAGCGAATATACTTTTTCATGAAATGCAGAGTTGAAAGTGTATCAGACAATAAACTTCCGCAGTGGCATTTGCGATAAAGTTACGCAAATAGTATTTAAAAATTTTTCGTTTTTAGACTTAACAAAGAAAATACAAATTTTGGAGTTAAAAACTAAGCCAATTGAGTTCCACATCTTTGATTTGTGTTACATTACATCAATCAATTTAACTTATCGAAATGCGTTACTGTATATTTCCATACCGATAATAACAAAATTAACATTATATAAAATGTTACTTTGGAATGCTATTTTGGAACTAACTTTATAAATAATCATAATAATCTTAATTATCATGATTTATTATATTGTTGAAATTGAAATGATTATTAGATATATAACGAGGAGATTATAATAGTGATTTTCTTATTGTGCGAAAGTATAAGGAAATGTTCCTGTCACTCGAAGAAATAAAATGATTAAATTTAAATATTAGAATTATCAACGTCTTTTGAACGAAAATTACTTAGATTAAAAAAAAAAATTAATTGTTATAATTATCTCGTAACCATTAGGATATTTATTATTCGCAAAAGAGTTAAAATGTTTTGGTCAAATTTTTTGATAACCTAATTTTTCTTAGACATTAATTTTTTCGTAATTTGATAATTCACTACATTTAGCTGGAGTTTGAATTATTATGAAGGGATAATATATTTGTTTAATTTTTAATAATATACAATATATTTATAGTATTATTTCATTTAAAAATTCCTCGTATACATTTCTTGAATGTAAGTCTTTTTTACTGATTTATTCTATCAGCTTTAAAATATACAAAAAAAAAATTTCGTAATTAATAAATTGAGGTTAAAGGGAATAGTGTAGTGTTCATAAATGAGTAAAAGATAATAGTAATTATAAAAATGATATTTATTAGACTATATCGAATTTGGCGTTCGAGATGATCAGACCTTCATTGCGAAAATAATCATAACGAAATATTCTAATATTTATATTTATCACTGATATTTATATTTATCGGAATTTATGTCACAATCAGCGAAACTTGGCAAATTAGTTTCATATGCAAAATTATTTAACACATTTTCAGGTTCAATTTCGATATTTTCAAGTTCTTCAATTACTCGACAGCATTCCATTTAAATAAATAAATTACAAATCAAAAGGTGATTTACGACTTGTTAATTCCCAGGATATCACTACTAAACTATATATATCATATTTTTCGGTTAACCTTTGTTTGTGTTTCAAAAATTTAGGATCTATATATGGTATTACACAATATGCTTCAGTATGACTATCTGATCCTTTTTTACATGAGCGTTGTATCTTCATGTATTAAGATTCCAATGGTGAAAAAAAAAACCATTCAAAATATCCGGCCTTTTCGTTTTTCCTTGTTTCTGTTGTGACGCAATTTTACAGGTCAACAATTTTAAAATCTACTATTTAATTATTTTTAAATTTTATCAACTGGTAACGGTAACTGATAACTGATGACTTTGGTTTCTAAAAGTTTTAAAAAATTTTTTTTTGATTTTAATTAAACGAAATGAAACCGAAATAAATTAAATTTGAGAAATTTCGAATTTTGTTTCTTATATACTCCAAACCCACTGTAATGAAGTGCTTTGGGTTTAGCGTTGTTGATTTACTTGTTTTTATTTTGTTTCGGCACGTGTCATCGTGTCGTGTAAAAATAATCACAAAAACCGGGCTTTTGACGAAATCTTCAAACGTTTAGAAATTTTTATTAAAATCTATCATTATCTAAGATTATTTCTAAAATTTTGAATATGAAATTAAAATAAATATTTCTAAGTACATCGATTCTCATTCAATCTGGCAAAGTTAGTCAATAATTTCAAAGATATATACGCCAAAACTAAAAAGAATCTTATACGCTGTACGGTCGGGTCCTATTTGTAAAACATTAATCACGTGGAAAATCCATATCAGAATAATTTATGTGCTAATGGAATTTTCGGTGGATCTCAAAATGAAACATAACATAGGTCAAATAATTAACAACTCTGGATTGTTTTATAGTCGAATAAATATATAAATAAAGATTATATTTGTCATATTCAATAATTAATAAAAAGTTGAACTCTGGCTTTTTTAAAGTTGAATAAACATGTATGTAATAAAGGTCGAATATTTACTAATTAGGTCTAAATGATGACCGAATAATTTGTTCTAATATAAATCTAATGGCACCCGATGACCCGAAGCATCAAAAAGCAAATAATTTACCTATGTTTGTGTTCACTCACAAAGAATACAAGTAAATTACCTGATATGAATGAAGTTTTACCTTCAAAAGTAATAGTATAGAATTTTTCACTTTCTCTCCACCACAGAATGCTGAAAAGAATTTAAATGATATTGAAGATTTGATTTTAAATAAACGGTTCATTAACTAAAAGCAAGCATGTCAATTAGATTTAAATAATGATTCACGCATTTAATTCCCTGAAGCTTATCTTCCAATAATGGGTTCGAAAATGGTAGAAAACGAATATAATTCTGACCTAAACTAATGGAAATAAATCAATTATTATGAGTTTTGTAAATAATGTTCTCCTACATCCGATCATTCTTTCACTCCCGTCAAACTGTTTATCATTATTCAGTATAATTGAGTCAATTCTGGCCAATTTTATAATTCCGGCAAGAATAAATTATCACGTGCGGCCGATCATATCGTATTACGCCATTTATTGAAATTTTTTTTAGAAATTCAAATCATGTCAAGATGACAACAATTGTAAAAACTGAGATGAAAAATATACAAATACAAAACATAAATAGTGTAAACTATATCAAATAAAAAATGGGCTAGAT